GGGCTGCAGGAGCTCCGGGGCGAGGGAACGAACATGCCCACCCCCAGCCGGGCACCAGCTCCCCCCGACAGAGACGAGGCTGGGTCCCCCACTGGACCCCGAGGAACCGGCACAGGCGAGGCCCCCCGAAGCCTCCGAAAACGCTTCAGAAGGAAGGCGGGAGGGGAGGGAGGACACGGACGCTCCCCTGGGCCCCCTCTGAGCCAGCACTCGGGGCTCTGCAAACACCACCACGAAGACCGTCGGTGGCCCGTGGACCTAGTGTTGCAGGAGCTGCCACCCCAGAGCTGCCTGGACGCCCACGGTACCTCTCAGGAAACTGAGGCTGGAGGCGAAGATTGTTGGGGTGCGGGGGGGACAGGCCTGGCGCTGTCCCCAGGTCCCATGGAGCTGAGCCTGACCCCTGCTTCCCTAACCCCAGGACCCTGGGCACCCCTGCAGGCCTCCCAGGTCAGCTGGCCGGGGACAGGGGCCCTACCGGGCCCTGTCCCTTTAAGCTGGCTGTGGCGGGTGGGGGTGTCAGGGGAAGCGCCTGGCTCCTGGGCCTCCCCACACACAGATGAATCACCAGTGAATCAGAGGGGAGGGGGACGCAGTTCCCACCACCGCCTTCCACATGAAAACCGTGGGCCCCACGGCTGGCTGGGAAGCAGACTGTTTATTTGGGGGTTTGGACAGCCCCCACCCCCACCCCAACCTCGAGCCAAAGTTCTGAAGTCAACAGTCAGCCTCGACCAGATTCAGCTGTTAGCTTTTTTTTTTTTTTTTTTCAAAAATAAACTGTAATCCACAGACCTTGGGCGTTTCGGTTTGGGAGAACTTGACAGAGCAAAGCAGCAGGCCAGGTGTCCCGTGCCACCTCCGGAAGGGACAGGCACAGCCAGCAACCTTTCCTCACAGCGAGGCTCCCAGGACGGACAAGGGACAGCTCAGTGCCCGGAGGAGGACTCGCTGCGTGCTGGCCCCGGGCAGTCACGGCTGCCACAGACAGACGGGAAATCGAGGACCGGACACCCCACAGGGCCCCTCGGGACTGCTGCGTGGTGGTGTCCTGCATGGCTCCAGGACCATCACTGACCAAGGTCACCGAACAGCTGACCGCCGCTGGACTCGTGCAGTGCACAGCCTGCCTGCCTGTGCGCGTCGGCCCCTCCAGCACACGTGGAGCAGAGCCAGCCCTGACTCTGGCTCCGTCCCTCCAGCCCTGAGGTCCCTGCCCCTCGCACTCAAGACTCTCCAGTCGCCCAGTGGCTAGCTAGGACCTGGGGATGGAGGGGCCACCGTGGATGGCCGTCCGTCCTTAATACTGACCACCGCCCGCAAAGCAGGCGGCAGCCTCTCGGCAGGGCAGCTGGGCGCCGGGTCCCGTTTCCCTGGCCTCACCTACGGCCTCGCCTACTGCCCCTCTCCCCACGGCCTCGGGCCCCGCTTCCCTAGCACACAAGCCCCTGAGCGTCCCGCTGCCTGAGCACAGACGGTTCCCCCTGCCAGGAGTGCCCTTCCCTCGCCCCTGGCCCACCTCTTCCGGGGAGCCCGCCCCGACGCGGCAGGCTCAGTGACCGACCTTTCCCCGCTGGGCCCCGCGGCTTGTCCCTCGGGACCGTCCTCATGGCTGGGGCGCCCATGACCCAGGGAGCAGTGAATGAGCAAGGAGGTGCAGAAATGTCCTCCAGGGGCAGGCAGTGTTCCCAGGGGTGCCTCCGCGGCTCCCCTCAGGGGGCAGGCTTCGCAGCCCCAGGAGCCAGCTCCGTGGTCTAATTAGTTCTCAGATGGCTTCCTGGGTTCTTTCTCTTGAAAGCTTGCCTGACCCAGTGAACCTCCTGCCCCGCGTCAAGGACAGTGGCTTCAGACCCCCCTGTAGTTGGGGTGGGCCGGGGGGAGCAGTCCTGCTGTCTTTGACCAGGTTCCTGTCCCCAGACCCCGCGTCCAGGGCTGCAGCCCAGGCCTCCCCATTCCACGGGCCACGCCCCACAGCTGCCAGGCCGGGCTCGGGGCCCTTATGATTTCAATGAGTTCTCACAGCAATTCTGCAAGGCAAGAGTTGTT